CCCCAGGAGTGAAACCGTATTCCCATTTCCCCCCAAATCCATTGTCTCTTCCGTTTCCCCCAAATCACCCATGGAATTTCTTCCCCATTTTTCCCAACTCACCCATGAAATTTCTTCTTCATTCCCCTAAACCACTCTTTCTATCGCTACGCAAATCGTAATCGTCACTCACCTCCATCGACACCAGCAATCTGTCGGCGAATAGAAAAACATAATTAAGTATTCAACTCTATCCCTGAAGCCGCACTCACCCCCTCCACTGCCACGCTCTGTTCCATTAGGTCGAGAACGTAAGTAGTTTTGTTTCTAGTATTGTACATAGATTCCGACATAATTTTTTTTTAGTATGCCACAGTCTTCTGAATTTCATCTCATTAATTTTGAATTTTTTAGTGGTATATGGTTTGAATAATATGATTTTGTGTGGTTTTCATTTAGGAAGAGAATCGATTCAATTGTTAATGGGCTTCTTTGAGAAGTAGTATTGTTGGTTTGTATTGGTTAAGTCACCGAGCTTGCTCCATTAGGTAGGGAATGCAAGTATTGTTGTTTCTGGTATTGTATTTGTACTCGAAAAGTACCCTTTTTTTTTTGGTATGCCACGTGTTCTTAATTTCATCTCGCCAGTGTTGAATTTTTCAGTGGTATATGGTCCTTCATGTAAACACGGATATCGAAAGTGTTTTGAAGTCGAACGGGATACTAGTAACAAAGGCTGATTGTTCTTCACTTGTAGTAATGATTGTGGATATTTCGATTGGGTGAAAGAAGTTCTAAGTGGGGGAGTCAAGTTCCGTTGACGAAGGGGTAAATCATGAGTCAATGTGGAAGATGAAGAGTTCCCAAGACTCTTGGACAATCTAGCTCGAATTAGCAAGAAACGAGGCTTGGATATATCAGTGCACCTGAGTTTCAGCAAGGGAAAAGGCACACTGAAGTGCGATGGGAAAGGAAAGGGTTCAACTTGAACAGTCTATTTGAAGTTGCTTTATGGCTAATCGCAACGTACCAACGGTTTGGTCATTGTAGTCTATAAGATGTATAGGTAATCTTATCAAAATTGTTCGATATTTTACATGACTCTTATTAGGTTCATCGTAATATATGTTATGGTTAAAATGATTCTTATTAGGTTCGTTGTAATATATGTTATGGTTGCTAGAACTTTATGATAGACGTGTTCTCGTTTTTGTTTGTAAACGTCCCGGCTGAATTGTTTAACAAAAAAGATTCGTGATTAAGTTTTGTCTCCGAATCATTATGCAATTGCTAACATTTGTTATAAGATGTGTCATTGGTTTATGTTGTACACTGCTGTAATCACTTGAAGCAAAAGAGATCAACAAAGTTTTCCTCTCTAAGTCAAAAAATTTATCAACTATCCAAAACTTGCAACATCAGAATTCTATAAATCATAGTGACTTTTAACATAAACCAAGCTATACATCACCAAGTAACAATTACATCAGTGCCCAAGAGAGAATATTCTTGTTAGGAAGTGGTATGACAGATTGGCAATAATCACTTAGAAATGAATTAAATTGTGCATTCCTATTTCATGTAATTATATATAGGAGGATCTCACGATAACACCAATATTCCAACACACGAATTAAATGGCAGTTGTTGCAATCTTTACAACGTTAATGGTGGTCTCTTTTCTGGTGTATGTTATGGCCCAAGATTACTATTCCCTCTCTTCCTTCAATAGAAGGTTTCTTGATATTTCTAAGACCTGCAACCCACTAGAAACACAAATGCTTGTTGTTGCATTGCATTCGAGATGATAAATTTCATGTGCAGATAATTAACTCGTCCACGGCCACCAATCAAAAACTATTCAAACGAAACCTGTGACCTTTCTTGCACAATTCCAAAAACCACGTCTACAGCCACCAATCAAAAATCCCAGCACCAATCTTTTTCTCAGGCTCCAACTGACCTTTCTTGAGCAATTCCAACATCACTATGTGCTCATACTGGGGAAAAAAGAAAGACATAAACAACATTAAGATCAAGCCAATTTCATACTACATATTTAGAATCATATGTTCATTATTGCACTTAAATTATGTTAGGAACATGTTGTTGAAAACAACAAACTAAACACCATCATCGAAAACTCAATTCCCAGCTTATTTATGATACTACGAACCTATGTCTAAAATCTCCACAAAATCTGATTATCCGGAAAGAGATTCCTTCCCATTGCCTAACATGATATGTCAATGGCATAATTGAGAAGAGTGAACAAAAGAACAATGCCCAAACTGAGAGATACATAAGTTAGATAGTGCTCGTTAACACCATATATGTATCTATTTATTTACAGAGAACAAAAAAATATATTCATGGAGATAATCAAAATTACAATATCCAGTACAACCAAATGAATATCAAATCAAAGCCCATTCTATTGAATTTAATTTTAATCCCAATATTTGAGAACCTTAATTTTCGAAAATAGATTGTGAACATAAAACAATCAAAACCCATAAGGTTTCTCAAAAAAGCAAGCATTTTTCAAGTGCTATAACAAGCAGATCATTCACAGAAGAAGTTAAATCCTTAAATAAAACTCAACATAAAGCAGGGAAAACTCAACACAAGTTTAAGCTCCTCCTCCATTGCTGCCCGTTTAATTGCTTACCCACCCAAAAAAGCAAAATAGCAACCAATACAAGGAAACGTAAAATGTGCAGCATTTATGTAAGCAACAGTCATACTTTGTGTTGAAGAAAAACTCCAAATCAACAAAGATGCAAAAATGAAAAGAGTAATAAAAAGGAATTATTGTGTGGGCAAAAGGGAAAGAGGGTTGGGTGACTGCAGATTTTGGAGACAAAGAAGCTAACCAATTGACAACCTAACAAAGAAAATGACAAAATACCTTTGTCCACCATTTTGGGTGACTGCAGATTTTGGAGTTCTTGATGAGAATGGCGTCGATTTTCCGTTTACATACAGGTCGGAGATGCACCAATCAGTTCCCCGGAATTTTGGCCGGATACAGGTGAGTCGTCAGTGGCGGGAGTCGACACCAATTTTGGGGGAAATGGTGGACTGAAATGCTGTCCCCTCTCCCTCCCGCGTTTTTGTTTTCTAATGCGCCCCCCCCCCTTTTTAGTATGCCACGTAATCAATTTTTGAAATCCTGTAGCAATCCTGTAATGACTTTCCTGTACTCATAGCACTACCCTAGGTAAAAAAGTAGATTGGATATATCACTAAGTGCTTGTTTTGCCCTCTATTAAATTTTAAATTGTCTGCTACAATATTATTCCTCACCACACATTCATAAAATAAAATATTCTACACACAAATCAATTAAATTCTTTATTTTCTAACTAATCATTTAAAAAAAAAAAACTATTCAAAACTCCTAATAATAGATGGCAAACATGGGCTAAGTGGGCCAACATTTATAAACCATCAACAAATAGAAGAAATGGGCAATGAGCAGCACTAATTAAATTAGACTGCTTCTAATGGCCAAAATGGTTTTAGAGTTAAGTTGTCTTCACTGAGATGTCGACTGAAAAAATTATAAAGAGTTATATCATTGCTCGAAAGATTATTTGACAACAATTTGCCCAACAGTCTCCATTCGTCTTGCATGGAAATGCATTTCCTTTCTTGGAGAGGGTGTTTGAGTCTCATTTTTATGGAAAAAAATGTATTTTAAAATAGTAGATTGATAAGAAATGTATAGTTGAAAAATAAGATTTTTTTATTTACGTATAATATTATTTTAATCAATAATGTGTGGTTGAAAAGAAGAGAGAGACAAATATATTTAAAAAATAAAAAAAAAAGGAATCAAACAAAGTATTAGATTTAATCTAAGTTAAAATTAACAATTAATTTTAACCAAACATTTCATGGGATTCAAAACTTTTCCACAACACATATTTTATCAAAATTTACTAAAAATCTAATTTTATTTCTCACCAAACATGGACTAAATTTTGTGGAGGATAAGTATTTTATTGGCGTGTACAAACACATACAATTTGTTCTGGAATTATTATTATTATTATTATTATTATTATTATTATTATTATTATTATTATTTCCTGAAATGAAGTCATATTTGGTTACTTATTAAAATTAGAAAAATAATGAATAAAATAAAAGACAAATTGATGCAAGCATTACATGAATATTATGTAGGCATATTTCATAAGGGATTCTCGAAGTAACATAGTATTTGGGTAGATTCACCGACTTAATTTTAGACAATATAATCAATTGTTTGTCGTATCAACTATAACTTTGAAAAGATGTTACATAACCCTATATCATATGGTATCATAGTCAAATGTCTCGTATATAATATGAGCATCACATGAACATCAAGATAGACCTAATTTGCAAGGGATATTTGAAGTAAAGTCGGACAAATAGTACTTGAGGTGGATTTCTAAACTTGATTCTAAGGTGATATAATGTTTGATTGCACATTTCCTATCGACTATTAACTTTTGGGTAGAAAATAGTTACACATCCCAACATCAGTGTGATTTGATCTCATGTCATTGAAAGAAATAGAGATAAATCTAATTTAACCAATCTAAATTACCTGAACCTAAATTAAAAACACACTTTATAGGATGTGCTCTAGCAATGCTCCATTGCTCGGTGACATCTTGTGTTGTATGAAATATATTTCAAAATGTTAAAAAATATATTTATTTATTTTGAAATTTGAACAAATAGTTGATAAAGCACACTATCATCTAAATTATGATCAATTTTCATAGGCTTGTTTAATACCTCTTAAATAATATCTTTGAGTAGATTATTCCATCATCGTATATATTCACTAGGATAATTCAAGAAGTGTTGAACATCCACCACATTTTTATAACATTGACTAAAAATAACTTGATGGTTTCACATAATATATCGATAAATTTTCTCGATCCCACATTATTATTTACTGAGGTTTTACTTTCGATATTGAATGGGAAATTTTTTAGCTGGGTAAAAATTTCATATTAGGATTAATATGCTCTGTGCTTTTTAAAAGCATGCATTTATACTCAAAAGAGTGCGCAAAGCCAAGATCGTCATGGCACTCGTGTAACATTATGGTACAACAGAACAAGGAACAATATTGTCTCTTCTCCTCGTCTGCAAGAAATTAGTTCCTTTTGGTTCACAGTTATAGCCTAACTGAACAATTTGTCTTCCTAACTATAAGCGAAGGGCATTACAGTTTAGAATTTATTAAGGCCCTAAGCTCCCTTCGAAGAATCTTCCCAGCTGCAGACCTTGGTATCGAGGTTCGGAAAAACACCTTTCTCACCTTCTTATACGGTGTAACCTGCAAAAATAGAATACTCATGGGCAGATATGGAATCTTGAAAAACATCAAAAACGAGCCCTATTCATCAATAACTTCAAAGAAAGTGAGCATGCAATGAAGTGCTTGTTTGGTAGTGCTTTTGAGTGCTTATAATCTACGGAACCTATTAAATATGTGGATAAAAAAGTATATTTGATCAGCTAATTTATACGTTAAGCTTTGCCAAAAATGCTCGAAGTAGAGATCTTAAGATAATAACCTGCTTAGCTACATAGTCCATTAGGGCTGTATCAGATAGTGAACTCCCATCTTTCCGGACTACAAATGCAATGGGAATCTCTCCAGCTTCTTCATCCTTTGCTCTATAAAATTTGATATACAAATGCCACGAAGTAAAAATCAGGAAAAAGTTCAAAGATTGAGAAATTGCACCTAGAAATAATTTTGTTGAGCAATCCTGACATTATAGCTATTTTAAGAATTTATCCTCAAATGTAAAAATAACATAGAAAGAGAGCTATAGGGGTCATTTTCAGACCCTTGTAATTTTTTTTATTTTTTGTTACGGAGGTAAAGAGGAAGAACAAAAGACACTCGTAATTTTTACGAGAAGCAGAGGATTCGGAGATTTTCTATAGCAACAAAAGGAAGTATTTGCCAGCAATCAGCAAATTGTATTCAGTGCTAACTTTTTACAAGTGAATACAGCAGTGTAAAGAGATTGCTCAAGTACGTGGCCTCCAGCTTGACGTAGTATACGGAAAGGGAATTGTAGAATAAAAATTAACTATTAATGAAGAACAAATTTTTTTTAAAGAAATTATAAAATGGCCACACTTACGCTGTTACTGCTGCATCAAGCACCTCAGGATGAGACAACAATACTGACTCTAAATCAGCAGGAGCAATCTACAAAATGACAGAAGCTACTTGAATTAACAATTTCAGTACAATTGATTTGCGACTTTAGGATTATGAAAGGAAAAAGACATCTTCATCAAACAAAAAAAAAAAAAAGAAGTTATTTCTAATCCAAGAATCACTGAAAAAGGAGAACAAATAAACTATGTACATATATTGTATACCTGGAAGCCCTTGTACTTGATGAATTCCTTCAAACGGTCAAGTACATATAAGTATCCTTCTTGATCAAAACAAACAATATCCCCTGTATGTAGCCAACCATCTTCATCGATTGTGGCCATAGTCGCCGCAACATTATTCAAGTATTCTGTAATTTAAGTGCAAATTTTGAAATTCTAGATTTAGATTTATCCTTATAGCCTTACTGATAGCTGTCGAGAAGAATGATATACTTTGCCAATTAGAATCAGCTAAATTTACGAATTTGATCATGACAGATTTTAGGAACAGAAAACAAAATATGCATTAATCTTCCACTTAGCTGCAACTGTGGGTGGAAATGATCTAACATTACATTACTTTTCACTCTAACGTATATTAAATCAAAAGGGCAGAGGCATTGAATAAAGCATCAAAACTAAGATCATATTGAAAAGTTATTGAGATACAGTAATCAGGCCGCTTTGGAAAATTCCAATAAGAATTTACTTCAGCAAAAAATAGTTGGAAAATGGAGTACATCTCAAATATTTATGGAAAACACGTACAGTTAAAAACGCGAAACATAGTCCATCAATATGTATATTACTGAAAGAGAAGTACATTTTAAATAGAAGCCCTAGATTTCAAGTATAGGTGGTAACCACACAACACTTGGAGAAACTAATTACCTTTCATGACACCAGGTGTATGTAACCAAAGTTCACCAACGCTTCCTGGTGGTAAACAAGAACCAGAGACCCAATCCACTACTTTAGCTCGTGCATTTGGGGCCAGAAGTCCTGCAGAAGAATATTTACGAACCTTAAAAGTATTGTAGCCACGAGTTCCTACAGCAGTTGATTCCGTCAAACCATATCCCTGACAGCAAAATAATCATTTGACAAGAACAATAACATAACATATGTAGCTACAAACTATAGGGTAGATAATTTCTGGTAGAAAACTGGATAATAAATGCTATCAACTGCCATTCTGTATATGATATTTAACACAAACGAGTGAAGTGGATTAAACAAGAAAATTGAAGAGGAAATTGAAGAAATAGATTAACTAGCCCTTGTTTGGCACCAGCTTATGATCGGTCAAACCTGAAACCACTTTTTATCCACATATTTTGTGGGACCCACGAGTACTAACCACTTATATACCATTTATTTCTATCTATTTTTAATCTGAACTTATTATAAACGAATTGTAGACATGATTTAGCCTCATTTGTTCTTACAGAACATCAAGGGTGAAAGTTAAACAACATGGTTTGCATATGCATTAAAAAAAAAAGTCATATCCAAACGAAGAAATTCATTTTTTATTTTCCTGTACTAGATTGCATCTAACAAAACTAAAATATAGGA